CAAGAAAAAATCCACGGTCGACTCGCAATGCTTGCCGTCAATCGTCATGACGCAGGACGGGGCTGTGGGGTCGGCCCGCACCACCCCCTTGATCACGTGGAGTGGGAAACTTAAGGTCATCGTGCGTGGGCAGACGTTAAAATCACCAGCCAGAACATAGGGAAAACCCATTTTTGCAGCCGCAGTTCCAAATGCCTCCAGGATGCCTATGTTTCTTGGTGAGAGCCCCTCACTGTCATGGAGGTATGCACAGAAAACATTAAGGATCCCCAGTGCCCCATGCTGGACAAAGCAATGGCATAGGCGGCCAGGGACCAGTTCAGGGTTGGGGCTCCAGGCCTCCAGATGGCCCTTGACCAGGATCATGACGCCTCCCGAGACCTTCTTGGACGGTAGTCGGAGTCCCTCGGTACCGAAAACTTTCCAACCTTGTTTCTGGAGTCTATCTGAAACATCTTGGAACTTTTGGATCAGCCTGTGCTCCTGGATACATACGATGTCCCCGAGCGTTGACAAGTGGGCGAGCAGCTGCTTCGCCGTCCTCCAGGAGTTGGCGTTGCAGCTCACAGTCCCAAACTTGCTCGGGGTGACATGGCGTGCTGGCTGGTCACGGATCAAGCCAACTCGGGGTGGCTCAGATGCACACACTGGCCGCCGAGTACGAAATTGTCCCTCTGGGTGGAGCCGCATTGCCAGGTCTTGACCTCCTTGGAGCTGTTCACGCAACTGGGCCCAACGCTGTTTGATCCCAGGCACTGTTTCACCAGAGTTTGTCCTCATCATCTTCTCCCAAGCAGATAGACAGCGTACTAAGTCCTCCGACGACGGGATCTTGTCACCTTTGATGTCGAATCTGTAGTCGCCATTCCGTACACATTTCGATCCAGCAAAACCTGACCCGCCCACCGCCACATGAGGTGGGCCAGAGCGATCGTGGTCCAACCCTGGCCCCCTGGACGGTGGGTCACGCCAGTGGCGACGTTGTGCCCCATAGGGGTTTGCATTCTGACCTTTCCCAGATCCAGCAAAATGTTTGGACGGGGTGCTCGTCCCAATCCGTTGAGACGAGCCTTCATGTTGACCATGTGCTGCCAGGTTCGAGGAGCACCTGGCAGCTGCGTTCTGACTTGAACCAAATCCAGCAAAAGGTTTGGACGGGAGGCCCGCCTGGAGTAGAGGCGGGCCATCGTATGTACCCGATGGGGCAGACGCACTCCTTGTGGTCGGTCCTGTAGATGTAGAGGTCGAGAGCCCAGTCGATCCACATGTGGTAATTGGCGACGACGATCGTGGCGGCCGAGTCCCCTCCAGCGGAAAGCCCAGCCGAGGACGCGCTCCGACATAGTCGGGGTCACTCTGGGTCTGGGCTTGCTTCGCCTTCGTCGGGTTTCTCGGCCTGGTCCTCGGCCATGACAAGGTCCCTGGCGTAGGTGGAATTGCTCCCGTCGTACTCCATGTGGGCTGGGTGCTGTGACGACCAGGGGCTGAATCCCTGCGCACCCAGCCCTGAACATCCTCACTTCGGCTAAAGGCCCTGTCGTGTGGCCTGTGACTCAGCAGCATGTCGTAGTCCTCGATCTCCAGCAATCTTCTCGCGGATGTTCTTGATGGGGTTGGTGGAAGAGCCCGCCTTCGCAGCGGCAGGTATTTGTTCATCACATTGGTCAGGTTGCGCTGGTGGGCGAGCCCCTCCATGGCCACCAGCTGCTGATGTACCTTCGTCCACCTTGCGCTTCTTCCCTTCCAACCTCTTGACATGCTCGCGATGTGCATCTTTGGCCTTGGTGGCCTGCTCCAGAGCTCCCTTGAAAATATTGGCAAGGTGGGTCTGGATACTGTCTGAAGCCTCCGCCTTGCGTCGCTCCAGCTCTTTGATGTCTTGTTCATCCAATTCATAAGAGGCCACCACGTCTGAGATTCCCAGGAAGTCGTCCATGGAGAAGACGTCTTTGAGGTCCACCCTTCCTTCGACCACTTCCCTGATGCTGACTTGGGCAGGGCGCAGTGGTCCGTCTGGCTGCCTGCCCACCGCGGTCTGGATCTCAGCCAGCGCTTTGGTGACCTCCTCATCAGCCTCATGAAGTTGCTTTGCCATGTTGGCGATGTGATTCTCCAGGTCCAGTGTGGCGAGTCTCCAACGCTCGAGCTTCTCGTACTCGCTGTGGAGCTTCTTCTCGAGCTGTGCTTGGAGAGCCTCTGCTTTCTGCCACCTTTGCCTCGCAGTAGGTGCCGAAGGAGCAGGCGGTCCACGGGTAGCCAAGGCATGGTACCGTTTGGCCCCTTCCACATCACCAGCTTCCTCCGCCAGCTGTGCCAGGTTGCGTGCCTTATCCACGTCCATGTTCGGGAGGGGGCCTGGAGGTAGTGCGCCATCTGGCCGTTCATCTCGACCTTTGCCTTTGCCTTTCTTGCCCTTGCCTGCGTTGTCTTGTTGGCCAGCCCCGTTTGTGCCCGCACCAAACCGTACTGGGGTGGTCTTCTTGGTGAGGCTTGATCCACAATGCTTACAGCATAGGGAGCCCCAGGTATTCTTAGCGCAACCACAGGACAGGCAGGTGACCATCTTGAGCTTGTTGCCACTTGAAGTATACCAATCGCCTTCGTCTTTGCCACTGGGTACGGCCTGTTGATGTTCCCGCCACGGATAGGACCCACCCCAACGCCTAGCACGACGGCTCCAGCGAGCAGGAGGCCAACCCACATCAGGCGACACGCGGCCGCCCTCCTGGGCCATGAGCTGCCCTCGCGGGCGCGGGAGGGTGGGCTCTGAGGTGGCCCCTGCCCGAGAGGATCGAAAAACGCGAAGAAATACCTCGTCTGGCCAGGCAAACGAGGGGCGAAATTGTGGGGGCCGCTGCTCCCCCTTGCCAGTGAGGCCAGGTCCTGTGCCAAAACGGCTCCGGACTTGAGCCAAAATGGCTACGGACTCCTCTCCTCCTCTTCCTCCTCCTCCTCCTTCTCCTCATCCTCCTCCTCATCTATTTCTTCTTTTTACTATTTCTCCTCCTCCTCCTCAGTTTCCTCCTCTTCCTCCTCCTCCTCCGCATCCTCATCATCATCATCAGCAGCATCAGCATAATCAACACCAGCATCGGCATCATCATCCTCATCATCATCATCATCAGCAGCATCATCATCAGCGTCATCAGCATCAGCATCATCATCAGCAGCAGCAGAATCATCAGCATCATCAGCATCAGCATCATCAGCATCACCATCACCATCATCAGCATCAGCATCGTCAGCATCAGCAGCATCAGTATCATCAGCATTCCCAATCATCAGCAGCATCAGCATCAGCATCATCATCATCAGCATCATCGGCATCATCATCATCAGCATCGTCATCCTCAGCATCAACATCAGCAGCATCATCCTCAGCAGCATCATCATCAGTGTCATCAGCATCAGCACCATCATCAGTATCATCATTATCATAATCCTCACTCTTATCGTCTTCAGCATCATCATCATCATCATCATCATCATCATCATCATCATCAGCATCCTCAGCATAAGCATCAACATCACTATCGTCGTCAACAGCATCAGCATCATCATCAGCAGCATCCGTATCGGCATCAGCATCCTCATCAGCATCAGCATTCTCATCAACATTAGCCTTAGCATTAGCAGCATCACCATCAGCAGCAGAAACAGCATCAGAAGCATCATGATTATCATCAGTGTGAACGTCATCACCATCAGCATCATCAGCAGCCTCGTCAGCATCAGCATCATAATATTCAGCATCGTCATCATCATCAACGTCGTCAGCCTCAGCATCATCATCAGCACCATCATCGTCGTCACCATCGCCATTATCAGCATCAGAATCATCACCTTCATCAGCAGCATCGTCATCACCACCAGCATCATCAGTACAATATGCATCCATATCATCATCATCATCATCATCATCATCATCATCAGCAGCAGCAGCAGCAGCAGCATCAGCATCATCATCATCATCATCATCATCATCATCATCATCATCATAGTCATCATCATCAGCATCATCAGTATAGTCATCCTCATATGCCTTACCATCGCCGTCATCATCAGCAGCAGCATCATCGTCATCATCATCAGCAGCATCATCAGCATCATCATTGTCAACATCCGTATCGTCCTGATCATCATCAGCAGCAGCAGCATCAGCATCACCATCGGCAGCTGCAGCATTCTCAGCATCGTCAACTGCATCAGCATCGTCAGCATCACCATCATCATCAGCATCATCACCAGCGCCACCATGGTCAGCAGTATCATCAGCAGCATCATCATCAGCAGCATCAGAAGCATCATCGTAATCATCAACATCATCAGGCGCATCACCGTGACCATCATCATCATCTGCCTCGTCATAAGATTCAGCACTATCATCCTCATCGTCATCACCAGCATCATCATCATCATCATCATCATCATCATCATCGGCAGCAGCCGCATCAGCATCATCCCCCCTCCACTCCTCCTCCTCACCCTCCTCCTCCACATCCTCCTCCACTCCCTCCCCGCCTCCTCCTCCTCCTCCTCCTCCACCACCTCCTCCTCCTGCTCTTCCTCCTCATCATCATTCTCCATCCTCCTCCTCCTCCTCCTCCTTCTCCTCCTCCTCCTCCTCATCATCATCATCCTCCTCCACATCCTCCTCCTCCTCTTCCTCCTCCCCCTCCTCTTCCTCCTCCTCATCATTGCCCCTCCTCCTCCTCTTCCTCCTCCGTTTCCTCCTCTTCCTCCTCCTCCTCCTCATCCTCCTCCTCCCCCTCCTCCTCCTCCTCCTCATCATCCTCCTCCTCCTCCTCCTCCTCGTCCTCCTCCTCGTCCTCATCCTCATCCTCCATCCCTCCCCCGCCCCCTCCTCCCTCCCCTCCCTCTCGCCCGCCGAGGAGCTGGGGGGGGGGGCAGCCGGGGGGTAGCTGGAGGAGCAGCAGCGTTGGCGGCAGGAGCGGCAGGCGCACCGCGGGCAGCGCCCCCCCCCCCCATCGGCGGCCCTCCGAGGCGTAGATCTGGTAGTGCAGGTCCTCGCGCTGCGCGGAGGTGCGGTTATCCTTCTGGACGCGCGGCCTGCAGGCGCGCGGGGCGACTGGGAGCAGCGGTCTAGATCCCCCCATCAGCAACAATATCAGCAGAATAATAAGTATACTCCTCGCCACCATCATCGTCAGCATCCGAATCATCAACATCAGCAGCAGAAACACCATCATCATCATCATCATCATCATCATCATCATCATCATCATCATCATCATCATCATCATCATCATCATCATCATCATCAGCATCATCATCATCATCATCATCATCATCATCATCATCATCATCATCATCATCAACAACAACAACAACAACATCATCAGTATCATAATCATCATCAACACCAGCATCGGCATCATCATCATCCGCAGCATTATCATCAGCATCATCATCAGCATCGTCATCATCATCATCATCAGCAAGATCATCAGCATCATCATCATCACCATCATCAGCATCATCATCATCATCGTAATCAGCATCATCATCAGCAGCAGCATCATCATCATCATTGTCATCATCATCATCATCAGCAGCAGCAGCAACATCATCATCAGCATCAGCATCATCAGCATCAGCATCATCATCATCAGCATCGTCATCGTCATCATCATCATCATAATCATCGTCATCATCATCATCATCATCGTCATCATCCGCATCAGCATCATCATCAGCATCATCATCATCAGCATCATAATCGTCATAATCCTCATCATCAGTATCGCCATCCCCATCAGCCGAATCATCATCAGCACCCTCGTCATAATCAGCCGCATCACCAGCCTCGGCATCGCCATCATCGGCATCATCATCAGCATCAGCATCATCATCCTCAACAGCATCAGCATCAGCATCAGCATCATCATCATCAGCATCAGCATCGGCATCGTCATCGACATTATCATCAGCAGCCGCAGCATCAGCATCATCATCATCATTATCATCAGCATCCTCATCATCAGCATCATCAGCAGCATCATCAGCAGCGGCATCAGCATCATCAGCAGCATCAGCATTATCAGCAGCAGCATCACCACCACCATCATCAGCAACAGCATCAGCATCATCATCATGATCAGCATCATCAACATCATCATCATGAATATCATCGTCGTCATCGCCATCATAGGCATCATCATCAGCAGCATCAGATTCCTCACCATCATAATCAGTGACAGTATCAGTATGGCCATGGTCATCATCGTCAGCAGCCTCGTCATCCTCATGATCATCATCATCACAATCGTCAAAGACCGTCGCCATAGTCAGCAGTATCAGCATCCTCAACAGTACTAGAATCATCAACATCAGCATCATCAACCTTACCATCACCATTACCAGCATCAGTATCATCATCAGCATCATCAGCAGCATCATCGGCTTCATCATCATCCACATCATAATCATCATCATCATCATCATCATCATCATCATCATCATCATCATCATCATCATCATCATCATCATCATCATCATCTTCATCTTCATCGCCATCGCCATCGTCATCATCCGCATAATCAGCATCACCATGACCATCGTCATCACCATGGTCATCAGAATCGTCGTCATCATCAGCAGCAGCATCATCGCCAGCTTCATCAGTATCAGCATCGCCATAATCTTTCCTCATCATCGTCAAATCAGCCAGCGTTGACTCCAAATAGATTAGACGACTCAAATCAAAGAATCAGCGGAATCGAGCATGCTTGGGATCCGCAATTCAGCAAGCAAGCAAGCGTGCAAGCAAGCAAGCAAGCAAGCAAGCAAGCGCGCAAGCAAGCAAGCAAAAACACAAGCAAGCAAGCACACCAAAGGAATTAGGGGGGAGCATAGGAATATCAGCTAGCGCTGACTCCAAATAGATTACACGACTCAAATCAAGAAATCAGAGGAATCAAGCATGCCTGGAATCCGCAACTCATCAAACAAGCAAGCGTGCAAGCAAGCGCGCAAGCGCGCAAGCAAGCAAGCAAGCGTGCAAGCGCGCAAGCAAGCAAGCAAGCAAGCAGGCAGGCATAGACATAGGCATAGGCGTAGGCATAGGAGTTAGGGAGAAGGCATAGGCATAGGCATAGGCATAGGCGTAGGAATTAGGGGGGCATATGAATTAGGGGGGAGGGGGCAACGGACCAATTAGTAGGGTTTGAGCTAGGACTCCTATAGGGCAAGCCTATTTGGAGAATTAGGGGGGCAACGGACCAATTTGTATGATTTTTGAGTTAGGATTCCTATAGGGCAAGCCTAGTTGGAGAATAAAGAGCAGAATCATCAATCGCCATCGTCATCATCATCGGTAGCAGCGTCAGTATCATCATCGTCATAATCATCAGCATCGTCGTCGGCACTATCATATCAGCCAGCGTTGACTCCAAATAGATCAGACGACTCCAATCAAGGAGTTAGAGGAATCAAGCATGCTTGGAATCCGCAATTCAGCAAGCAAGCAAGCGTGCAAGCAAGCAGCAAGCGTGCAAGCAAGCAAGCAAGCACGCAAGCAAGCAAGCACGCAAGCATAAGCATAGGAGCGCTCAGAGGTGGCGCATAGGCATAGGCATAGGCATAGGCATAGGCATAGGCATAGGCATAGGCATAGGCATAGGCATAGGCATAGGCATAGGCATAGGCATAGGCATAGGCATAGGCATAGGCATAGCAAGCGAGCAAGCAAGCAAGCACGCAAGCAAGCAATCATAGGCATAGGAGCGCTCAGAGGTGGTGCATAGTCATAGGCATAGGCATAGGCATAGGCATAGGCATAGGCGTAGGCGTAGGCGTAGGCGTAGGCGCAGGCGTAGGCGTAGGCATAGGAGTAAGGGGGGAGGCATAGACATAGGCACAGGCATAGCCATAGGAATTAGGGGGGGCATAGGAATTTGGGGGGGCAACGGACAAATTAGTAGGGTTTGAATTAGAACTCCTATAGGGCAAGCCTATTTGGAGAATCAACAGCACCATATTCTTCATCATAATCGTCATCGTCATCATCATCAGCAGCAGCATCACCACCAGTCAACCATCAATCATCAACTGTCAACCATCAATCATCCATAATCATCATCACCACCATCACCACCATCATCCTCATCAGCATCACCACAACCACCATCATCATCAGCATCATCATCAGCATCATCATCATCATCATCATCATCATCATCATCATCATCATCATCATCATCATCATCATCATCATCATCATCATCATCCCTCCGCTTCATTTTCCTAGCCCTCTGCCTCATCCCCCCTGCCCCCACCCGACCCACCCCCGCACGTCCCCGACAATGTCGTCCGTCGCCTCCGCCTCCTCCTCCTCACCCTCCTCTCCGGCCTCCTCCTCGTCCTAGCATGTGCCTTCTGTGTGCTTGGTCACTGGTTTGGGTCAAATGTAAGATTGGGACCCCCTCTGCACGCCTCGGCGAGGCGCCGCTGCTGGAGAGCACTCAGAGGCGGGACAGCATCCAGGAGCCGAGGAGAAGCTCTGAAAACCTCCCAGCGCCTCCGACTCCTTGGATGCTCGCTCTGGAGACCTTCCTGGAGACACTCGCTCCACTCTTGCGTCGAAGCTGCGTCGAACGTCCGTCGATGTGGGTCGAACCCGAGTCGAACCTGGGTCGAACTTGAGTCGAACTGGGGCCGAACTAGAGTCGAGCTGGGGTCGAACTGGAGTCGAACAGATCTGCCAGGTGGGCCTCAGGAAGGCCCCCTAAACGAGCATCTGAGGTTCCCCCTCCTCGGGCCCTCCTCCGATCCTCTCCTCGCCCTGGAGCGCAAGGGGCCAGCAGGGGACGGGAGCCCGCCCCACGGCAGTGTGCGGGTGGGCCTGGAGAGATCCTGCAGGGAGATCGGCTCCGACCCCCGGCGGATCTCCCTCGGCACTCCTCCAGGATCAGCTCGGACCCCTCGGGCTCCCAGCGGATCTACAGAGACGCACGAGCACACGCACGCACCCACGACCACGCACACGCACACGCACACGCACAGGCACAGGCACACACCCACGCACAGGCACACACGCACACGCACACGCACACGCACACGCACACGCACACGCACAGGGATCGGCTCGTGTCCCCAGCGGGACTCCCGAGAGATCGGCCCATACCCGCGGCGGGCCCCCAGGGAGTCGTTCGGGATCGCTGCAGCTCCCTGGCGGATACTTTCCCGGGGATTCCTCGGGGACCCCGCCCGCCAAGGAGGAGCCCAGCAGAGAAAGGGGCCAGGCGGGGAGGCGGGGAGGCGGGAGAGCGGGAAGCGGGGAGGAGGGGCTCTCAGGCCATCCCGGGCCATCCGAGCGCCCAAAGGAAGCCGGTGCCAAAATCCGTCCACCGCAACCTGTGGGAAATCGCTGAGGCTGGCCTCTTCGGGCCTCCCTGGAGGCCATCTTGGAGGCCTCCTGGGCCGTCCTGGAGGCGGGGGAGGCGGGGGAGGAGGCGGGGGACCCAGAGATCCGGTGTCGTGATTTTTTAATACGGGGTCCCCGGAAGGGTCGACCCATTCCCCAGGACCAGTCTTTCATCCTGAGTCGCTTTTTGCCGGTCCCGGGGCCCGGTGAGGGCCCCTAAAGGCCGAAAACTGCGAAAAACGTCCGTCTTGATTTTTTCAATCCGTGGGATCTCTGGGGAAGCGGCGGGGGAGGCGCGGGGGGGGGGGGGGGCGAAGGCGGCGAGGAGGGGCCCGGCGGCAGCGCGGGGAGGGGCCAGGCGGGGAAGGCAGGAGCCCGCCCCCGCTCGGCCCCGCTCCCGGGCATTGACTGATCTACTACTCCTCCTCCTCCTCCTCCTCCTCCTCCTCCTCCTCCTCCTCCTCCTCCTCCTCCTCCTCCTCCTCCTCCTCCTCCTCCTCCTCCTCCTCCTCCTCCTCCTCCTCCTCCTCCTCCTCCTCCTCCTCCTC